AGGCTGCAGTTAGAATGATAACAAATTCTCACTACAGGCAGCACACTCCCCCAAATATTCAAAACACTCAACCTACTCACCATACAAAACACCCATACTTATTATTGCACTTATTACATACTAGAACACTTAACTTTTGATATTAACCCCCCCCTCAAACATCTCCTTGCTAACCTCAACAAAAACACATGACCATAATACAAGGCACAGATCACTCTTTGATGTTCCTCGTGTCCATCTCACGCTATGCAAAAACTCAATGCACATAAAAGGCCCTAAAATCTGGAATTCATTACCTGTAAATATAAAAGAAACACTACCTGTTTATAAATTCAAGTCTCTTCTCAAAATTCACTTACTCACTCAAAACCAAATAAATACTGAATAACTGAACCATATAAATTGTATATCCTAAATGTTACTCACAATTATATGACACAAATGTTAAACCTAACTTTGTTATTTTTTTAAATACACTACCTAACAGAATACTCAATTCTACTGAATGAACAGCAATGCATGCAACCATAGGACCTGTCTTTGTAATACTCATTTGTATTTTATAGTTTCTGTTTACAATAAGTCTTATCACTGATTTCATCATTGCTTAGTTAATCTTAAGTTAATTTTAAGCCAGCCCGTAATGCTATGCATATAAGTGGCTTTTGGCATGCTGCTCTACCTGTATTTTTTGTACCTCTGTTTGTATGCTAAAATTTCTAAATAAATAAATAAATAAATAGGAAAGAGGGGGGGGGGGGGAGAGTATTACGTGGGAAGGATGGGGGATGGGGGGAAGAGAGGGGCGTTTGTGTGTGTGTATCCCCAGCAAAAGTGACGTGAAATGAAGAGGTTTTTTGTGCGGGGGAATGTGTACCCTACCATTTAAAACCGCTGTGGCGATTTGGGGGGGTTTGGGAAATTTGTGAAATTTTAAGAGGACGACGGGAACCCAAAGGGGAGTGGGATATTTTTCCTCAGTCGGGGGGCCTGTTTAAGGATCTCATTAGTGATTTTTCGGGGAGGTTTTGGGGGAGGGGAACATCGTTTATAAAAGGGGATACGGCCACGTTTGGACGGGTTATTTTATCTCAGGGGGTTTTGGGTAGAGTCTTTTAAAACTTTGAAGGTGTCTTCCGATCAAGGGGGATTGGGAAGGTGGGTGGATGCTTTGGCTTTTAGCGGGGAAGTTTTTGGAAACGAACACGATTTTTTGGGGGATGGGAGGGATGGAAGCTTTTTGCTATTTTGGAACAGCTCTGTCCGCAGAAGGTGGGGAAGATTGGTGGGGATGTGGGATAGTGTGGCAAATTTAAAAATACGTAATTTTATTGAGGGAGGGAAACCCACATTAATCAATTGCGGTAGGTTTTTGAAAATTACTTAGAATCAATTACGGGGTTGTTACAGGGGGGGGGGCGGTGGCCGGGGTGTACCCCGGGGGAGGAATACACATGTTGAAGGACAAATAGGGATTCAAGAAGAACGTTTTTCAGCTGTTGGGACAGGCGGGGTTGGACGAAGTACTCTGGGGGGACAAGCCCTCAGCTTGTGGCTGCGAGGACAGAAGGTACAACACGAACGACTACAATACCGGGGTTTGCAAGCAAATTTTTGTGGGGGGGTTTTAGAGAGGGGCAGGATTAAGGGGGCACCCGGGGGGTGGGGCATATGCAGATGATGGTTTGAGGAATACGGGGAAAAATAGTGGGTGGATGGCGAAAGGGTCTTGGGGGGGTAGTAGTATGTGCCCTGCAAACTGGGGGATGATCGGGAAGGGACTGGGGGGGGGTCATTGAGGAGGGGGAAAAATGGGAGTCCTTTTGGGCAGAGGAAGGGGAAGGGCCCCGGGGTCGATGGTTTACCAAGCGAATTTTTTTACAGCATGGGGTTGCTTAGGGGTTTCTAATAAGGTTAATGAATGCCATGAAAAACGGAGGTAAATTTGGGGAATCCAGGGAACGCGGGGGTGGTGTTGGCCCAAAGGGGAAACAGCGAGTACCCTTTGGGGTTACCGACCATTTCGTTTCTTTGTGCTATTATAAAAATTTGCGAAAAACTTGGGAACGGCTTTAAAATTTTTGTGGGGAGGTCGTGTTTTAGTCTCAGTTTGGGTTACCTGGTAGGTCAAAAGAGCAGGGCCACGGGGTTATCAAGGGGGCCTGGGGGACTGGAAAGGGGAAGAGGGGCGTTGGTGGGTTTTATTGGGGAAGGGGGTTAGAAGGGGGGAAAGAAAGGTTTGAGGATATTTCCTACGACAGGGTTTGGCGAAGAATTTTTGGGGGGGGGGGT